GCAGATAATCTCATTTAGTAATTTTTGCTTGAATTGTGCCGTGAGCGTGCCGTCCACTGCGCTAATTTTTGGCCAATACTATAGAGAAATAGAGCGATGGGCGACACATTTACTAATAGTGGATTCGTTTGACGCCATAACAAACATCACACCAACATTAAATGGGGCTTCTGGTATAACAAGCGCCATATTATTAATCATCAAACAAATGGGCAACCGAGAGAAACCAATAATACGTGTATGAAGATGCCACAGCCATTATATTTTACACGATACAATTGTTCGATTTAAGACACCTGCTGTTATTCGACATTAGCAGGTTTAATATCGAATGCGTTACGCCCGTGGTGGCGTAAGGTGGGTATCTCACATGTATTAGACTCCTCGTTTCGTCAAGGATAATAGCTTTTTTGATTCCAGGTCATCACAATGAAGAATATCTCCCTTATAATGTAAAAATGGAGAAATATTTTATTGATCGATGTATATAACACCGCTCCACTTACATTTGTTTAATACAAATATGTAATAATCATCCAATTGTTTAATCGCTTTTAGAAGATTGCAACGGGGATAAGTGGTAAGCCTATATTAATGATACAAGTATTTTTCCTGATTGCAAAAGAGATAACACATATAAAAATCACTGTGTTAAATATAGTCCTACATTCCCGCTACTATGAGCTTCTTACGCTTAACTTTCTTCTTCTCATTTCATCAACGATCACGTTTACGTGACGTCTATGAGTACGCAAACTTGATTTGAGGACACTGAAGGGCTTCCAGTAGTTGGTGATAGCGTGGCCTATTGCACTAAGAGTCTATACGAGGGCAAATAGCCATTGAAACGCGAAATTATTAATCAGGTAGATGTTGGCATATAAGTTTTGACGTTTGTAACCAGTTTAAAAATTGAAGTGACAGATCTTAAACGATAATTGCATAGAGTTTATCACGCCTACCTACATGAAATCTTATAATATTTTGATAAGAGTTAAATTACATCAGCATTATTTACGCGGGCTCACCTATCTAAATCTTATTATTTCATTACATTACGCGTGCCTGGAGTTCTGGATATAAACTCAAAAGGTAGATTTGATCGATAAATTGTTGATTGCTTTCGTTTTATACCTCTACAACATCTCTATCTGTATAAGTTTGTGCTGTGGATTTCAATATAGCTACGCCAGTTTACTTAACACCATTGATTGTCGAACCGCATCATTTGCATTATTGCTAGCCCTACCTCCATATTAGGTAAGGCTACAGAATCTCCATCGTTAGATAATGTTATCATATACCATCTCTTTATCCGACTATCATTATTTATACCGCCGAAGTGCGCCTTCATATACCGTCAAAGATTGAATAGGCTTTTACAATATTGAGTTTCTCCATATACACACTCGGCAGCATTCGTCTTGAACGAAGAAAGATTCCCGTCATTTCTGGCCTTTTTGAGCGCAACAGTATCATCATCGCTACCGCTATTGGTGATTGATATCCATGTACACGGCCGCATCGTACCGTTTCTTTACTACTACGCACATCGTTTCCGATAACTTCTGTGTGCATGTAGTGCGTGAATGAGCGCCGCATTTTCAGCAGCAAACCTCCACTTCTGAAAGTGTGTCGTTTTCGACCATGTTGATGGACGAAGAAGGATTTGAGTTGCCAACTCGTCTTTTAATTTCAAAATTAAGTTGACAGGTGTATGGATGCTCGCTTCAATCCCTTTGGCTATGGCCACTTTGTTTCAGTAGTATATCAAACAAGTTCCATATACGGTAATTTCTTAGATTTGTTTGAAGTAGCTTGCTTCATTCACATATTACTGTACTACTTCCGATACATTGTCCTTCATGTAGCTTCAACCTTCGGATGGTGTCAACCCCGGCGTCTTAACACCTCATTAAACCGTCCCATACCTGATTTGTAAGTCATTGTACAAAGTCAGAACGGGCAATATTATATATTGGATGGAGCTTTCTTTTTATTTGACTCTTCGCAGACTAATTAAGTATCGAGACATTTGTATCGTCAATGATAATTACTTTGTCGAAACGAAGATGTTTTTAGACCACAAATCGAGCATTATTGAATGACTTTTTCCGTTTTATTATATTAACTGAGGAGAAAGATTTTACGTGATTCTTTCTCCATGATACTTCCAGCAAGTACCAAAGAGGGAGCAGGCATAGCGTTGGACTTTAATCACTTTTAATCCAATAAAATCTTACTGCGCGGGTGTCACGTCTTTGTGTGGCTTTCTACGTATCCTCAGTCATCTCTAACCTCCAGCCTCTATGAAAATCTCGTCTTCGTTCAGCTCTGACCAGGCTCGCGCGTCTACTTCAATTTTTATAGGAGGGTCAAGAATTGAAATGGGTCCAGGAGACGCGATCTATTTATGCCGAGCTCTATGTCCAGGTTACTATAGTTCGAGACTTTCTTGACATTCTTAGGCTTAACTTTTGTTTAGCCTTTGTTTTTAAACAGCAAACCATGAGTCTTCTTATACATAATCGTGTGTTTGGGGCACTTAACAATGGCAGCGACCGAGGTCTCGGTCTTGATAACTCTTAACAAGAGCATAGAAGTAGTTCGGTGGAATTTATGCGATCATTTTTTACCAGTCCACTTTGTCAATACTGCTTACAAGTTGTATGGCAGCATCGTAGTGCCACCCAAAGGTCAAGATGATTCCGGTATGCGGCGGCTAGATATAAGTCGTCATGTTGCGCTGTAATGTCAAATTTCGGCATGTAAGTGCCTCAGGTCATCCAAAAAATGCGAATGACCTTCGTTTTATTTAAATCACTATGCAAGTACTTCTTTAAAAACTGAAGCCACATTGGCCAGAGTAAGAGAGATATTTTACACCATCACTTTTGCGCCAAAATGTCAAAAGTTACAGGATTGAGCACCTTGTTAGCAGTCTGGCCTGCAGAAGTCTTGAACTTGGTCAATCGTTCGTTCTGGTATCTCTGGCTTGTTGAAATGATCATTCACCTTCTGCTTTCTCTGGTTCATTCATTAATAAATTCCCTTGCTTGATGCGGTATACCACTAGTAAGTTACGAGCTTACACTATTTGTAAAAATACAAGGAATTTGTAGTTTGTCGAATGGATTGCTCTTGTAAAGATTGCTTTCCGCAGCACGCGGTATACTTCGCAACTAGGAAATAAAAAGAGTAGATTGATCTGTGTAAATACGAACATGCTATCAGCCAATCATGACTGTTGCGACAGCTTAGTAAGTTCTTTGCAGATTATGTAATGCGTCGGGATGCAAGTAGGATTATAATGAATGCGTGATGACCATTAAATTAGTCAGACTGTCCATTTTCGTCAGCCTAGGTAAAGGAACTTGCATCTTGACTGATTGACCCCATTCTATGGTCCGGTAACATTTAGTTTCGTGTATGCGTCTTCTGCTATGGTAGATATTTAGCGCAATATTGGTGAGACAACAACGAATATTGTTGAATGTGATGACGCTGTCGTCCAGCGTTTCGAATTGACATGTGTCGGTACTAGTCGTCGTGTAGCTGCTTTCGTCAAAATGTGGCGCCGTGTCTGTTCAGAAGGAGCGCCACGCCTGAATCAGTGCATCTTGTGGTCAGCGGGGCAGTTTAACAATCATTATTATTCGCTGAATGATACCTGCAAAAAATACAAAAGAAGACAAGTCACTGGTGGTGTTCACATACGAGTGTACACAACGTTATAGCCATTGTTATAACGCAAAAGGTCAGTCGTGAAGTCAGACTTGTATACATCTGTGCGATATAAAACAGTTGGGCATATGACTTATCAGACTACGCTGACACAAGGTTTGTACGAGTCGCCTTAAGCGTGCTGTACGTAACTAGTACTGCCACCAACACAAATAGTTTCAGGCGATTTTGTCGATAGATTATTTGCTGTGTAAATCAACTTCATTAGTGTCCATAGCAAGAAGTCCTTCGCACGGTAAGCGTACCCGGTAGCCCGCTACATGGAGACCAAGCCTCCGGAAATTACTTCGCATTTGCAGATTTGACATGCTCACTATAGCGAACTCAGCAGAAGCTTTTTGCTGGTATGTCGGATGCGTCTACACCAGCAAAGGTGAAAATCACGTACACAACAAAATTCTCGTCATAACTGACAAGATTGAATGGCATCTGTCAATATAAAAGAAGAGACAGCGGCCCCGTCAATGAAAAGTTATTTGGCCAACAACCTTCCGCAAAGTTTTACAAGAGGTGAAGCGCATTACTATCATCATGGTAGTATTCACGTCGATAGGCGCAACGATTCATTGTTTTCTCGAGTGGACAATGGAAAAAGGCTAGCGTATAGCGTGCTAGTGCTAGCTTCTTTTTCTCTAGCTCTTACTACTCAGCACTTACTAGCTACAGTAACAGCGAAAATCACAACATGTAGCTGATGTACATATAAAGACAAGTCGTTGACAAAACGACGATCACTTACCTAAGGAAATGAGGGTTCTTGACCATAAATTCGAGCGGCGTGGGTTGAAAGGAGAACACCAGCTGACGCGAGATACTATAATATGTCGCGAGACATCTTTATGAGATCAGTTTATAAGTTGCGATCATTATCAACATTTGCCGTCCACCCTGCCATCATGGAAGATGCAGGCTTATGCTCACCGCATTGCACGGTCAGGAATAAGCCAGCGCTATCCGAACGGGGACGTTGTTTAACTTGTGTGTTGTGACAAAAGACCCATTTCTGTCTCTAATAGACCTCTATCAACAAGTTTCCGTGTACAAAACGTGTTTGTTTTGGGTCCGATAGAAAGTGACAGGCAGAAATATAAAAAATACCGCCAACCCCTTGAGAATATTTCATGCAGCCCCATGTCCCACGATGTGTCGTTTATTTCTTTCTTTTATCCTCACGAACCGACATGTTTAGCTTCGTACAACACAACTTTTAGCAAGCAAAAAGATCTTACATTTTCACCAGAGTTCTGGGGGCCGACATGTCGTTGGTCGAAGTCGCTGTCGTTGATATTGAGTCGTCGTGTTTGGTCCCTCTGTTTGTGCACTGTCATCGCGTCCTTTCCGCCTCTAACATCTCTTCAGCCGCCTCTTCGAATTCTGCCTCTCTTCGTGTTCGGATACTCGATCCTCCGATGCTCTACGATGCAGAGGTCGCCCCCTGTCACAGGCCACGGGCACTCGAATGCTCGGATGTCGAGTACATAGTAGCAGTCGAGTCGGCTCTGCTTTCGCCCCAATGTGACGCCTCGACACGTCGTTTTGACTTTCGATGGAGCAGACACGAACAAACTCTAACGCTCATGGAAAAGACAAGTGTTGCCATGAAATTTTGTGCAATCAAATTTGAAGTGACCTCAGAAGAAGCAACATGGCTAGACTTGCTCCGTCGTGTAGCAACACGACAACAGGAGAAGCAAAAAGCAGCTGCTGATGCTGAGAGCCATCTGCAGCAGATGGAACTACTGATGAGGCGAAAGGAGGTGCAGCTGGATACGACGCTGATCGCAATACAAAAGGTGGAAAATCAGTTCGTGCATAATTTCTGTGCTCTTTTAAATACAAAGAAAGATGAGATCAAGCGGCTGCGGTTCGAATTGTCGGAGAAATGCATGCACCGTGCCAATGAAAGCACAATGACGGGCAAGAGAAGGATTGCTGTGTCGGCGAAGAAATCTACAGGAGCGAAGCTACAAAGAAAGAGAAAGGAGACAGAAGGCGAAGACGATGAAATGAGGAGCGACAATTCAAGCGAGTGTACTTTTGCAGATAGGGACGATAATGGTGCTCAGGCGAAAAAAGGGTTGGAAAGTCGTCCAAAGGGCAGCGCGACCAAGGCGTGTATCGCTTTGCCTCCAAGCTCGCGAAAAATTTCGATGCACAAGTGCGATGGTGAAGACTTGTTGTCAAGTATGAATGCCATCATTGATACCGAAGAAGAGAAAAATGACGGTTTACTGGTACGAGAGTTTGGGAAAGAAGACAAAGCCATGACATCGAAGATGAGGACGGCTCATGCTCCTATGCAAGTAGTTGCAAAAATGGAGCCGACGGCCGACGTAGCGATGGATTCCTCGGAGGAGGATATCCATGACATGCTATTGTAAATCCGTGAAGTCCATCGTCAAGACTCTATTGCGTGTAACGTTTGCTGTCTTGCACGTGTCGCGTAATGTGACAACGAGGTGCACATATGAAAGCAAAGAGGCAAAGCAGTTCCAACATATACCGATATCAATGAGAACTTTGCTTTATATATGGCGCTTCGTGGTAAAAAGATTCCGAATGACCAAGTGAACCAAGACCACATTATGTATGGGATGGTCTTCGCACACTGTCGATCGGAGGTCGTCGGTCTGACGCACGACTGTATTCTGCTGCGAAGTAACGATTGAATGCGAAGTTTAATCGACTCCGTCTGTAAAAAGAAAAGGAGTCTAGAGTCTGCGCAAAATTTAGTCTAGTAGTAGGGGCGCCTCTTTCGGGCAAAGTAGAGGTGGATCTAAGACAAGATGAATAAACATAGAGGTCACTAGGATTGCGTAAGATGGGTCAAATGTGAAGCAATTGTGATGTCAAGCAATTGTACTGTACATGGGCTCAAGTGTTCGCGTAGAAAGTGTTAGGCATACAACGACCTGATGATGTAGCTCAAATGAGATACTGTAAGGAGGTACAACATCTTTCGTCAAAGGAATGCTAACAGATCAAAAGCTACACAGTTGTAAGGATAAACATGACTGAGGAATTCGACTTGTGTATATGTAATATAGATCGCGATTGGCGTATGTCAAAGTAGTCCTACGAGAAAAGGATGACGTTCGATAATTACCTGCCAAAGAGACCAAAGTACGCCCCAACAAGGAAATCGACATTTATTGCTCGTACCTTATAATAATTTTGTCGACTTTTCACCAGGGTAAGGAACCTCACGTGAGTAACGTGTGGCACGTTTCTACTACTTAATAAAGTGTTATCAAATTATATACACCTACTTTGTGCCTGAAAAGCGTTCGCCCACGATCCGCGCACTTATCTTGGTACTATTTAGTTGAGAAAGTTATCATAGAAATCAATGTGCTGTGCTCTATCACCATTAGCAACAACGATCCTTTCTTACAAAATTAACTTGCTCTACCAGCATTGACAAATTGCAACATTGATGCTAGCACTGCTCTCACGTATTGACACTCTACTCAATTAATTATTAGGCAGGTAGCGAAAGTAGAAAGACCACGATCGCACATAACACGAACACCAGTAGCGACGCCACCTAAAAGTAATTTGACCCTCTATGTTATACCTGAATAGGCAGAGGATATGAACGACGAACATAAGCCCAGCCATATGCATGGATAACAACGGATCCGGGGAATCTCTGTCGATATGAATTCGGCCGAATTGCCAACGAATGATCCGTTAAGCAACTAAAAAGTGAAAATAGTACATGTTATCAGGTATATATCAGCCATGTAGTTCTACTGTCAATATTCCAGGATAAAGAGCACATCAGTTCGTATGACCTATATGAATTTCTGGATGCCAAAATTCAGAGATTCATTTTGGTGACCCGAACAAGAGCCGCTAGTTGTATGCACGGATACCTCTCATAGCAAGAGACAAAATTGATGGAATATATAATCACGATGCGCGCAGCGTATAACACCCCTACAATTCTGTTATTTCTCGGCTCAAAATGCAAGCTAAACCTGTTATTTTTTTCACGGACCGGTGATAAACGATGCGTCCAGACCGTCACGAAAGGCACTCCTACCTGGTGTAATCAGAGCATATTTATAGCTAGGAGTAGACAGGCATAGATTGAATATCGACATATGTATAAGGGTGTAAATAAGCATCCGACATGCGTCAGGCCCGTGGTTAAGCAGAAATATATCCTGATATTCTTACCGTAACAAACCTCCAAGGTCAGCGTGCTTGTGAGTAGTCGCTGATGTAAGCTTTATATGGAAAATAAAAATATGAATACTATGCAACTTAGTTGTCGAAATCATTTTTAATATGCAGATGTGTACCACATTTAATTTTTAGATGCTTGTATATAAGTCTGATCTTTCGTGCGAAACTTCATACTGCCTTGCTCTGGACTTGAACACAACATTTTTCGACTAGGCCACGTTAGTTTTTTGTAATCACAATGAGTTCTGACTCGGTATTAAATTTCGTATAATCTAGGGTGTCCGTCTGCAGTGTTTGATCAAACAAATTTTCTTAAATAGCACTATTCTCGTCTACATAACTTCCGTCAATTTCTCAGTACATTTATCCGATCCATACTGTGAATTTTCGCAACTGATGTGTAATGATAAGGAGTTGCTTAGTCAAATGTAATGTAGCGCTATACAAACATAGACGAATCAGGCAATGCTTCACACATAATTGCATGTCAACAGACTTGTCCGTAATTACTGCTGTTTCACTCATTTTTACTGCACATAAATGTCATATCTAGAGATGGGATACAAAATTTGTCCAGACTTGATATAAGGATGATTTTAACGCTCAAACTATTTATTCATTTAATGATCTGAAACGATTATTTTCATTCTATAGCCCATATTTTTTATTTTCGCCATAAGTAAGTATAAAAACAGAATAAATTTGGTGTTTACTCGATGTTTTAAATAGTATTTATAATTACAAAAGGGATAACGATACGACTAAAATCGTGTGCAGTATTTTAACGTGCACTTTCAATAATCTGTATCATAAGTGCAATATTTGGGCCGCTAAAATATGAGGATATACGTTTCTACTAGATTCAGTCGAAGATTACCGAAATATGAATCTTATCTCTTCGTTAGTCGTTCACGATTAAATTCCGCTTACGCCCCTTATATTGGATCGTACTAAGACTCAGCATCATTTCCTTCGAGTCTTGCTTTATTAAACCAGTGGTATGCTTTACAATTTGATGCTGTATCGTACTTTATTAGCTTTTAAAATTTGCGTCAATGCCACTACGCATAAAATCGACTTGTCTCGGCCTCGACTACTTTGTTGTGCACCGATGTCACCAATAGGTCATTGTAGCAACATGTACTTAGACGTCAGTCCAAATAGGTGTGTTATTGATACTACGTTAAACCTGATTCGAGTAGAATATTGCTTTCAATTACGATACACCATCAATAAATTTTAATTTCTAAGATACCCCCTTAACCGGCTAATCACTGAGGTGTCCTCGAGATATCCTCGAAACTAGACCAGCGTTTACGTCTTACCTGGATACTATTTCTTCATCTAAGGTGAACGCTTCTGGCGTCAAAACCATTTTTTGCATACTCTGATGTATCGATATGGCAAGCAAGTTTTTATCGATATAAAATAATGACGCCATGCACATGTGTCCACTATATATTTGCATATTTTCTGATAGTTTTAATGTGAAGATACACTGGATCTGAGAAATTACAAAAAGCGTCTTAATTTTTTACAGCGTCCATATATCAAACCTATTTGTTCCACTCAAGCCATCTTTGCAAAATCTTATGGTCCGGATGTTAACAATCAGGGCGTCTACATCAAATGGCGTGCAGCTCTCGCGTGAGTGCTAGATAACATTTGCATTTGCTGTTATTTCGTCGTGGGTACCTATATAAAGCATTTTTACTGGTTCCATTGGAAAGTAAATAATAACGCCACATGTTTTGGTGGCTAAATTGTATAGTTGTCAGAAATCATCAAGGTTCAACGTCCCCGGAAATATTTCTAAGCTTCCATCTTCTGCATGTGCACTTAAGCAGCGATGTGTGTTTATGAATACATGGCGTAATTCTGAATAAGGTCAAACTTTTCTTATATGATCCCATTGTATCAACTGGATTGTCATCGCCTTTCCCAGAGTCGATAGGGTGGGCTCATTATCGACCAATTTGTCCGGACAGACCCTTAAGCATTTCATCTATAACCTTACCATGTTAACGATGATATACGCGCACGCAATCATTGGATGTGCCTAAATTCAAAGCTTACGATATCATCAGCATTATATTGAAATATCTCATTGTGCTTTACTTAATCCAGTTTCGCTTTCCAGGGCTTGCTCCAGAAGAACATCCTAGGTTTGTTTTATAATCATTCTACCCTGCCATTAGAGCAGAGTCACGTATGCGGTCTATTCTTTTCCATTAAGTAAAGCCTCCGCTGCCACCTCTTTACTTACCAACGACATCATTTCGTCCGATGTAGATAAATTGATAGATCGTCGGATGAAGCTCGCATTAGCAGACTTTTATGAATTAGGCGAAGGATTACATCGTTAGTGACGATGGTGTCGATATCTATCCATACAAGTGTAATTGCAATTGAAGATATTGTATCATCGTGAGTATGTAGCCTTACATGTTTTTTTATCCCTGTCATGCACCCAATTTATACGTCAGAGCTGTGCTTCTCATCCCGGTCCGTGTTGAGCTTGCAAATGGCTTGAAATTGGTACTATCGAAATTTAAACTTAAATTGACATTCTACTGTACTACGATGGATATCATAGCATTTTCCTAACGAATTACACAAGAGTATTAGTCCGAGGTTTCTTCATTGCTACCAGACTAAGGTACCCCTCCTATGATTAGTATTGAAATGATACTCATGTATCGGTTTCGATCAAAACTTTATTGACTTTCGTAGGCGTACCTCAGGTGGAAGAACCGTCAAGTTTAGATTGATATTTATCGATATATAACCGTCCAGTTTGGTTGAGCATTTATCGGTATATAACTTTGTGCTTAGTCGAAAGTTTTAGACACTTTTACCGCAGAGCTGACACGAAAGTGCGATTGAAGTGTCATGGTCCAACAATATCATTTTCGCTCCCACTTGGTATCATAGCTATGAATAAACATCAGTGTGTAACTCCAATGCATTTAACATGTGGTGCTTCTATCGTATATATGTATGTTTATAATAGTTATCACATAAGTCTAGAGAATTAAGGTTAATTGGCAAGACCTGCTAAAGGTAAATTCCGGACTCACCTGATTGGCCACAATGTCAAGAATGTGACAGGTAGGATAAGGAGAGACTGACGATACGCGCGACGATCGAGATGTCAAGGCGGATGAGACGGGATATCCAGTTGGCA